GGGAGACACAGAATCCGAAACAGGCTCCAGGCTCTGAGTTGTCAGCAGAGAGCCTGATGCGGGGCTCGAACTCACGGACTGGGAGATCATGACCTGAGCTGAAGTCGGCCGCTTAACTGACTGAGCCACCCAGGTGCCCTGCTGTTATTGTGTTTAATGTTCCTTTGCATAATATGGTCTTTACCAAATGATGTGTAATATTTTTCTTGGGCTCCTTTTTGGGATGCTTGTATTAGGGTGCATAACATTGAGATTGCGGGGCTTGGGATAAAAAAAGAGAATGTAGGTGAAGCATGATTTACATGGGTGCACACAGCTTCTAAAGCCTTGTGACAAGGCACCAAACGGAAAGGATTTTGATTTAGCAGTTGTCACATAAGCATATTCCATGAGTCAAACATGGAGGAAAAAATGGAGCACTTGAAGTAAAATAAATAGTTTTGCCAGTTCATTGTAATTAAGCAGTCATGGAGCACTTGATTTGCTTGTGCCCGGAAAGGTTGGTATAAGAGTCAGGGGGGTGACAGGTGGATCCCTTCTGGGACATGGCATGGTGGCAAGATGTGTAAGTTTCCTTGTTATGTACTAAGGAGTATGGACAGTCAAGTAAAAAGATTCCCTAGCATTCTCTCCTTTTCAGAACAAGCCAGTATCCAAGGCGCCAAGTAAGGAGGCAAAGTAAAGAGGGCCCTCGTAATGTCACTCACATCTCTTCCCATTATGGATTCAGGTTAGCCTCTACATTGTTGTTTTTTTTTTAACTTCATTTTGATTTATTTTGAGAGAGAGATAAGAGTGGGGGGAGGGGCAGAGAGAGAGGGAGACAGAATCCCAAGCAGGCTCTGCATTGTCAGCACAGAGCCCAATGTGGGGCTTGAACTCACGAATCATGATATCATGACCTGAACCAAAGTCAAGAGTTGGATGCTTAACCGACTGAGCCACCAGGAGCCCCAGGTTAGCCTCTACATTGTAAGGTCCTGCCTCTATTTCTCTTCATACAGCAAATATTCTCCTACTCACCTACACACAAGCACACACAACCCCCAACCATGTGTGGAGAGCCATTCAAAATCGATCTTAATAACCTTTATTCTCTACAAATGTATTCTCTGATGGAGGCTTTTGTTTCGAATTGCTTGTTTACTTTAAATGATTTGTTTGGGGGCCTCAATTTCATGTCCTTACCATTCAAAGCAGGATGTGGCCTCAGAGGAGCTCTAAGCAGCTCAGGACGAGGCAGACCAGGAGCCATCATGAATGGGTGCATAGTGAGCAGAAATTGTCATGAAAATGGGAGTATAGTTAGCATAGGGTCACAAGACAGACATTGATCAGAAGTGTTCCTGTGGAACGGCCCGTGGACAGAACATGGAAACAGACAGTCAATTGTAAGGTGGAGGATGATGTATAAGATAGAGTGTGAGCCTGGGGTAAGTAAATGAATGTCATATCGAGGTCATAAGAACCTTAACACTCAGGGAGATGTAGAACAGAACATTGATTCATAAGTTTTGAGACACAACATAACTACCTGAACTTGAAATCAGGTGGGGCACCAGGTCAAAAATAAAGAGGAATCTAAAAAAATAAAAAAAATAAAGAGGAATCTAATTTAGATATGCAGTTAAAAATTGCCCATGCTAAGGGTGCAAGAGATTTTAGCAATAATGGTAGTTAAAAAAAAAAATCACCAGATTAACTCCTAGTTGAAAATGTCTAAAAATCATGTGAAGCATTGACTAGAGACTATTTTTTTTTCATTTTTCTAATGTTTGTTTATTTTTGAGAAAGGGAGAGAAACACAGTGTGAGTGGACAGAGAGAGGGAGACACAGAATCTGAAGTAGGCTCCAGGCTCTGAGCTGTCAGCACAGAGCCCGACGTGGGGCTCGACGTGGGGCTTGAACTCATGAACCATGAGATCATGACCTGAGCCAAAGTCGGACACTTAACCAACTGAGCCACCCAGGTGCCCCTACTAGAGACTGTTTGAACTGGCGCTGAAGAAAATATGAAAAAAAAAAAAAAAAGGCTATCAGAATTCATATAGACTTATTCAGCTTGTATCACGTAATCAGCAACCAACCAGATGAATGTTCCTTTGGGGAACGAGAAAATAAGGGGAATCGGCCCTGGGTAGGTAAAATAACCTTAGCTGGGTATCTTGGGTGTCTCTCTAGCCTGAAAAGCATGATCTCACCTTAGAGTTTAGTGTCATAATGAAGTTAAGTGAATTTCTGAACCGTGTTAACAACACAATTGTTCAGTCATTGACAGAGCAGGGTTACTTTTCAAATTTAAAATGTGGGCTGTGGGTCTCTCCCTGTGCTTATTCTTTCTTCTAACTCTAAGCAGTCTTCCCAAAGCTTTGGATGAACCAAATGCTGACTTGGGAAAAGGAAAGGAGAACACGTGGCCAGTTCTCTCCAGAGCGGAAAGCAGGAAAGCCTTTGTCATCTCTGTCCTGTGTAATTTGACTAAACCTACTTGAAGAAGAAAGAACGGATGGCCTCAGAGAAACTTTGTACTCTTAAGTGAACAATAATCATAGTGCAGAAAGGGAAAAGGGAAAAAAGGAAGAGGAAAGAAAATGAGGCTGTTTTTTTTCCCCCCTCAGCTGAGAATGTCTAAGGTTTCATTAATGCAACTTGGATCCTTTCTCTCTAAATGAGGTTCCAACTTGCTGGAAAAAGGCCCGTGCAGAAATATCATGTAATTAATAATGCCTTGAAGGGAAATATACTTTAGGTGTTTTGCTATTTTTTTAACCACTGGATGTGGTTTTTAAATTATTATTTATTTATGCCCATGTTGATGCGGACTGATTTTGGGGTGACTTACATAAATACATTTATTTTTTAAATGTTTATTTATATTGAAGGGGGGCAGGGACAGAGAGAGAGAGAAAATCCCAAGCAAGCTCCCTACTGTCAGCACAGAACCCAATGTGGGGCTTGAACCCACCAACCTGACCTGAGCTGAAATCAAGAGTGGGAGGCTTAACTGACTGAACCACCCAGGTGCCCCCATAAATATACTTAATATCGTAAGATTAAAATAACAATAAGAAGCAAATAGGAAAATCGGGGAAAGGGGAAAATTCAAGCAGTTAATATAAGATAATATTCGTACCCGAAATGTTTGTTGTTCTAAGTCCTCATAGTTCCACTAAGAACCAAAGATGTGAGACAAAACCAGATACATGATTTGCAGTGTCCCTAAGATAAAAATCAGACTTGATGCTCAGGAGAGCCAGAGCAAAATGCCTCCCTTGGGTCCTCATAAATAGGAATGTAATGGACAACTTCCTCAACAGCATCCTTACAGTAAACACAGACACCAGCTTCACAGATCAGTTTCTTATCCTCCTCTTGGTGCCACCATATAAACATTAGCCAGGAAGAGCAATTCAGTATGGGAATCTACACACATCTCCGACGGCCCCGGCCCGGCTTACACGAGGCCAGCGTATCAGTGCGCACAAAAAAATGGACCGATGCACTGCACATCACTTATTCAATCAATCACCCTCAAGTATTTGATTTTTCACCCAAGCTTGAGAGAAGCACTGAGTTCAGCCTGATGCCCCGGACAAAAAGCTGGAGAGTATCTGCTCTGTGTTGCCAGTTTCGCCAAGCCAGAAAAATAAGGGTAACTTCATGGGAATGTTGAGGAGATTCAACTCCTGGGGCAGTTTCCCTTTATTTGCTGGTAAGAATATAAGAAGCTGTCCCCTTCACTCACTTCAGAAGGAGCCTGAACCTTAGAGCTGTCTGAGCTCTCAGTTTGGGGATTGTCTAGATTTTACTGCAACAGAAGCTTATACAATTCTGAGAGTCCCTTTAGGAGATGAACACAAAATCAACTACATAAGTTAATTGCTATTTAGAATGGGAAAACACAAAAAAAAATTGCAAATTTTAGAAAAATTTGTCAGATATCGCAAAAATCTCTAAAACTTCTTTTTTTGTGTGAATTAACTGCCTGACACTCCTCAACAACAGGGTTTTCCTAAGTTGGGGCCACCAATAGCTTGATCTCTTATAAAAATCATATTCTATACAGGGAATAGAAAGATAATTCAGTCTTCTAGCATAGATGATGGAAATTTGTTTTTTTTAAATTTTTTTTTAATGTTTATTTTTGAGAGAGACAGAGAGACAGAGCATGAGCAGGGGAGGGGCAGAGAGAGAGAATCCGAGGCAGGCTCCAGACTCTGAGCTGTCAGCACAGAGCCCAATGCAGGGTTTGAACTCACAAACTGTGAGATCATGACTTGAGCCGAAGTCGGTCACCTAACCAACTGAGCCACCCAGGTGCCCCAGAGATTTATTTTTTCTTATTGACAGTTGAGGAAAAATTTCTTTCCACTTTACAACCTGTTACGGATACTGGCATGTACATTTAAAATTTTTTAAAGAAATATTTATTTATTTATTTATTTATTTTGACAGAGAAAGTACCTATGAACAGGCGAGGGGCAGAGAGAGAGGAAGGAGAGAATCTCAACCTGTGCTGTCAGTGCAGAGCCTGGTGCAGGGCTCAAACTCACGAAGCATGAGACCATGACCCAAGCCAAAATCGAGAGTGGGACACTTAACCGACTGAGCCCCCAAGGCACCCTGTGGCATGTGCATTTTTTTTTTAATTTTTTTTTTCAACGTTTATTTATTTTTGGGACAGAGAGAGACAGAGCATGAACGGGGGAGGGGCAGAGAGAGAGGGAGACACAGAATCGGAAACAGGCTCCAGGCTCTGAGCCATCAGCCCAGAGCCCGACGCGGGGCTCGAACTCACTGACTGCAAGATCGTGACCTGGCTGAA